CGGCGCCACTTTGTCCACCACAAATCCCACTTGACCAGACCCGGGATCGGGGAGCCAGCGACTAACCGCTTGAGCTATGGCGCGGCCCTATACCTTTACTTGCTTTCTTTCTTAGAAGAGTAGCACTGAGCCCGGAAGTTCTCCATTACAGCAATCCGTTGCATGCGTCCGTAGTTTTCCAACAGATGCATTTGATTTTATTTATCCACGTTCTTTGAAATTTTGTGCAAAGAAAAAATCCCTCGATACTTGATTCTGCTTTTATGTCTTTTGGCACAGTTGCCGGAGTACGTTTTCTCTCACTTCTACCGTGAAAATGTCGGCATTGCCGTCAGAGTGCTTGAGAAATCCAAACCAGAGGGAACATGAATATTGGACTGCCGTGAGAGTCTGAAATCTACGGATGTTTCCCGAGATTGACGTTTTCTTTTGGCAGGGCTGTGATGGGAAAGCAGCCTCATTTTTATACAGGTTTTGTCTCCGCATTAATAATATCGGTACTTGAATAAGCTGGGAGTTCAGAGGCACGGCATTTTAATTATTCATGATTTAGTCTTGTCGCTCCCAGAACCTGGCATCTCATCATACAGGAGCTCTCTGATCACCCCCCCCCCCATTCATGTTCGTGAACATTCGGAAGAGTATTTGTAGCCTTTGGCAAAGTTACATTACCGAATGTACGAGACGAACACAATTCAAACTGCTATGCAAATTTAAACTTACGCTTTGAGTTATACACGTAATAAGACACACGAGCAGTTCAATGTAATTAGTGTTTTTTTTTCCTTGGCACTACAGCCCCAGTGGTCCTAGGCCTACCTCCATGAACTTCTCCGTTCACTTCGGTTTTTCTAGATCTTACACATTCGGTAGGACTCCTTGGGCGGGTGATCAGCTCGTCGCAAGGCCTCTNTTGTAAGACTGGAGGTTCTCATATGAAGAATGTCGTCTTCTGGGATGTGGCGCCGTGTAGATCTTGTATAAACCGACTTTTCGGAGGAACATGTCGCACCCATCTTCAGGATATACGCCAAGACGGACTGTTTGTGGAGGTATAACGCCAGTCGTAAAGTAAATTTGACTCTGACTTTGACAGCACGAGGGGAAACTGTTCCATTTACGAGACTATACGAGTACTATACATATTTTATATATCAAGTGGTTAATTATATTGTCTCGATTAGTATATACCTTTTTTTTTTTATTCCTAGTGGGTTGGGACTAAGTTCCTTTAACTGCGGCCAATTCTGGCCTATTGTACCAGCCCCAGATGATAGGTGAGAGTAATTGTGAAGCAATTGGTGGAATGAAGGTGGGCAAGGGAAACCGAAGTACTCGGAGAAAACCTGCCCCAGCGCCACTTTGTCCACCACAAATCCCACTTGACCAGGCCCGGGATCGAACCCGGGCCGCCGCGGTGGGAAAGTATTTACCTAACTATCATTATTGCAATGGAATGCATTATTCATTCAGTGCAGATACACGTCTGCATTCGCGAGTATAGTCTAGTTCGGTGATTTTGCCTCGGACGGACTGATTGAAGTCATTAAATAACCTCTCGATTGCGAGTACTCGCTCGTGATTCGATCTAGTCCGCTATGTCCACCTGATGGCCGTATGTGTTTGTAAAGATGTTAATTTAAAGAAGAAACCAACCTTTTATTTCCCTTTACTCCTTTAAACTTTTATATAGATGTGGATACTCTGTTTACGCTTCTACCCTGAAGATGGACTCATCAAGTTCCTCGGATTCGTTAATAATGATCTACCAGATTGCACGTTATCCAATCCCAGAAGACAGTCAGCTCTATATTAACCCTTTTAATCCAAGTGTTTACTAAATATACACCTGCTTTAACATACCAAAACTCTGCATTCTGCCCCACACAGTGTATCTGTGTGTTCCATACGGCTCTCACAATAAACAGCGACTGTCTCCCTAAACAGCATTAACCGGTTGAGCTCTGTAGTGGGGACATAATATGTTTCCTATGAGGTTTGAACTGAATCTTAATATATTTTTTGTGTTCCTTATGATTCTCACAATAAACAGCGACTGTTTCCTTAAACAGCATTAACGGTTGGTCTTTGTGGCTTTGTGTTTCCTGTGAGGTACGAACTGGATCTTTGTATATTATTTATGTGTTCCGTAGGGTTCTCACAATAAACAGCGACTTACTTACTTACTCATGGAGCTGAGCCCTTCTGGAGGAGCCACAAATTCTGCAGCTACTCAAGAATTTCCCAGCGTTTTATGGAACCCGAAGGTTCATTCCCGTGTTCACAAGAGCCCTCCACTGGCCCCTATCCTGAGCCAGAGCTATCCAATCCATACGATCCCATCCTATCTCTCTAAGATCCACCTACGCCTTGGTCTTCCTTGTAGTCTCTTTCCTTCTGGTTTTCCCACCAATACTCTATACGCATTCCTCGTCTCCCCTATTCACGCTACATGATCTGCCCACCTCATCCACCAGTTGGTCTCTTTAGCGGAAACGTAATGTGTTTTCTGTGAGGTACGAACTGAAGTTTTATATAATTATGTCGAAGAAATCCAGTCTTTAAAGGGTTAACAGCCATGAGAACCAGTTATCAAGTTCTTGAGTCTGTGTACAGTTCCGCAGATCTCTACAGCCGCTTAGCTGTGGAGTGTGACCGTGTCGGACAGCGCTTCCGCCCGGCAGATCACGGCTCCAGTGCCCCAGAGACTCAGCCCGTCAGTCCGGAACTGATAGCCTTGTTCTCAATTATGGGCGAACCCTCGTCTCTTTTCTAATGTATGTCATTTCTATGGCGGATACAAGTAATGGAGGGGTGGACTGATGGCGGGGACATGCCGCCCTGTGCAACCCCTTTAAGGTGTTCTGAGTTCTGAATCAATTCTCTAATCTTCGATATGCGACAAGTGTTAAATTTGATGTATTCTTTCAGTGTTTATAATGTCTTTTGATGACGTTGTTTCTGACCCGTTCGCGACGAAAAGTTGAAAAATGTGCCTTTTTGCCATGTCGGTCCGTCCGCATGTAAAAAGTCGAGTACAGCTGAATATTAATTTGTTGCTGAGAAATTTCACTGAAGTTTTCCAATGTATTGGTTACAATCCGAAAAAAGTGGACAATTTGCATGAGTCTACACGCGTTTCTGCATGTATCTCAGGCCAACTAAATAGTAATCATACAAAAACGTTACAGTGTAAAATGAAGCGCAATGCGCAATATTCTACGCAGGTTTTCCCCCAGTGTTACGGTCTTCGTGATAAGTGCACGGTCGCACCTGAGTTGTTGGGCTGTGCGCTGCTTTCCGTATTTGTGAAATTTGAGGTTGGTTGCTTGTGGAAATAAATGCTTCGCCTTTAACTCTGGTAGATCGTTACCAACGTTTCTGAGGAATCTGCCTTCATCTTTAGGGCAGAATTGTGAGGCGCAATTTATATTACTTTATTTTTTATACGTTACCTTCATATTTACTTTACTGATTTTTCTTTTACTGTGTTTATCGGTATTATTTTAGCCTATTTATTTAAAAAATAAAGTAGGCTTATGAGATCACAATGCTGTCTGTCTGTCCATATAT